TCAAACCTTTCGTGGAGCAGCATGGGACTTAAACAAACTTAAGAGCATCGTGATCAACAGAAAGGCTAGATCTACTTTGCCAACGAAAAAATGATCTGCGAGCAATTTGTAAGTTACATAATAAATTACGAATGAAAATGAGCTAATAACTAGCAACTTATCTTTTCCGGTATGTATCAATCACTTGTTATTCTAAGGCTAATAAACATGCTTAGTCATTGGCAGAGCAAAAATCGTAGTCGTGATAACATTATCTGGTCTTAAATTATCACGACCAAAAAGACAAGATAGCAATATAATATGGTAACATTCGTATTCCACAAAAAAAGTATGGGGTCAATAATGGTAGTAGTCAAGATAAAGATCATATTCATATATTTTTTAAACTCAACGAAACACTATAAATGAAATTACTATATGTGCTCATTGACAAAAAGATTGAGTTGAAGAAACTTTTTTGACAAACGGCACGAGACTTATATATAACAGAATGTCAAGTTCAGATATACAGTATGTATCGAATTTCCGTATATCACTTGTTATGCGTCCCTTATAGAGTAACTTTAAACAGAGCAATTGTTCAAGGAAATGATTCACATAGTTCTCTCACGCCGATCTTCATGTAGTCTGTTAATCATATGAGATAGTCTTACAAAATCATGATCACAAACTGCTCCAAGCCTTGAACTCATGGAGAAGATATCAATACATGCAAGCAACACTATTCAATATGTGTAAGGTGCCATAAGCTTTATGACACTTAACTGTTATCATTTACTTTAATATGGAGCAATTATGCTTATACTTTCTGAAGTGTGCGTCTGCATGGACAATAGCTAGCACTTACATGAGGTATAGTAAATGCAAATTTATAAGAGATCGAAATTCTTTCAGCGACCCTTTTGGTGGGATAAAGTATTGAGCTAATATGTTTTAAACTGTAAATCTTTTGTTTAAACGAATGCATAGTATATCAATTACGCATGCTGTCCAAAAATTTCGACAAATATGTTAACACATATCACATTTGTTAATAGGCTCGTAAAATCATCTATATTGCCCATAGTTAATTCGCACAATGGGACTGCATTCATTAAATAAAGCTTTGGTTCATGTGCTTCTTTTGTGCTTACTTTCAATTGAAACGTTTTTGGTTCCACCAGGATTGTAAATATGCATATGCATTAAGTCTTAGTACCGTGAGGTATAATTGGAATAATTGATTAGGGGATCTCGTTGACAAAACGTTATTTGGACTGATTACATAATTAGATGAGTATCATTTGCTGGCCCCACAACTTAAATTTATAACGAGTTAGCACACTCACAGGATGTGCAAGACTACATATAGAATGCCCTAGCAAAACACTATGGAGTTGGAATCCATAAAAGCAAACAGACGTATTATCTTCATCTCTTTAAGTAAATTGGTTAAGTGTATTGTATTTATGGTCAAATATGTCTCTTTTTTTTCTTGAGGTTGCCTCTTTTTTGTAATCTTTCGTTAGATGTAACAGGTCATTTGACAACCTTTGACGGATATAATTGGAAACAAACGCGCACTAAAACAGACACAAGAGTGGGTAACAACATCAGTTACAGAATTAATCATACTAGGAACTACTAGATCAGAGTTAGAATTTTAAAAGAGAGTGGTGATTAATTGAAAATGTTTATAGATTAATAGAATATATCCTAGAACACTATTGGTAGGGAAGCTGCTTCTTTTTAAATCCAGTAAGTAGTGTTATACCGATAAAAAACATCTATGGCCACACATACACCTAGAGAACTCGACTCATTAAGTGGTTTCCGCTTATCTTGGGAATATCTAGCTATTTCGCTGATGGGCAAGGACGCAGACGCAATCTGGAGAATATGTGCTAAATCTGAAGGGCGCATATTCATATAACATCTTAATGAGCAGAATCATGAAGTATTGTGTATCATTATAAGAATATCGGAATTCTGGTCATTTCAAGATAGTTAAAAAACTATATATAGTATATCAGCATAAAATCAGAATGAGGACAAATACAACCCACTGAGCTAATAATGGCAATGATGCCACCAGGTTATACGTGGCGAGATTAGACGTGGCGAGCATTATGCCGAAGTAAGTAAATGATAATTTATTATTGCTTGCGTGAACGTTATGACAAATCTACTGAGGGAAAATTTTGGGATCATTTTAGGGTGTCATTACTAATTATAAGATATCTAAAACGTAAGTGAAGAGCTTTCTATTAACTGTAACCAACGTTATCCATTCTTATATCAAGGTTCACCCCCGCTTAACCAACATTTTGTAATGTTTAAAAGAAATTTATTTGTTTGTTAGCATTATATTAATAAAGAATTATTTTGAAAAATGAGCCTGATAATATTAATAAGGATAGCTAGGCAAAGAATATAATTAATGTAATAAAGCACACATTGTAAAGTGTTATATTATAATAACATCTATATTATATTTCGAATTAATAAATCGCTGAAATAGTGAGAACGTTTTGAGCGCAGGATTAAACATCGAAAAATTTCATTATACATCTGTTTGAGTACAAATGACGTGTATGATATAGTATATATAGTAATCAGTTCTATGCACCACACTCGTTAAAAGATGTTACAAAAACGGTAGAATTAAAATCAAATGATATCTGAGAAAACTGAGAGTAAGTAAAAATATCAATATAATCGCGACCACTGAAGTCCATTAGGTAAAAAAAGTAGTAATAACTGTTTATTTCTTTGGGAGTGACTTCAGGAGAATTTGTCTCATCCATCCTCAACTAAGAACCAAAACATATGTGAATAATGTTTAGTGGAATTTATTCAAATATTTGCATAGTTTTTGAGCTTTGATAGAACATAAGTTTTGTCATTCATGCGTTAAAGATTTGTATAAGTTTTTGGTATATGTTTTTGTATATGTAATATTGTGTATGTTATTGGATGCGTTTCGTATTTCCAGGCCTCAAGGGCGAGTCAACAAGCTTCAGGACAATATATTATAAATATGTTTTGGCCATTCGAATATCCTGTCAACGGTTAAGGAAACAGTCTCAGTGCTTGGTCCTTTTAGCTTGGGGCTGCTGAAATCGGTATCACAATCCCTGTCTTTTTGGCACTATTTTGTCAGTTTTCAGCCTTGCTGTTCATGATACGATCAGTGTATACTCATTAATGCTTTTGTTCTAATTATCTGTTTTGCCGATTTTGCCTCGGTAAGTAATCATCTGGATATGCGGCTCGAGCTGCTGAATGATTGGCAAATCAAAATCCTGGGCTTTTAGAAACTACATCATTTTTTATAAATAATATAGTGCCTTTTAAGAAAATTAAGGCTCAAACAGATCGCTGAAATTTAAATAAATGAATTTAAAATAATGCAAGGCTAGATTCACCAAAATTAAACTTTTTTTGTTTTTTTGACTTTTTTGGGAACGCAAAAATAAATGCGAGTTCATCCGATAGTGTCTTTAATTAGGCTAATCTGGCTTGGAGTCATAAACACTTATAATATATATGTATGTATGTTGTCGCGTAAGAATATATTCACAATTAATCTTGGGCTCAAAAATGAAAAAAATATTAAGATTGATCGAGGTCAAGCAAAAAAAATTTAGGTAATTAACTTATTAAAAAATGGTGTGTATCTGCAGTTTTCATAGCCTTGCTGACGATGCTATGTTTAGTAGTACGCTCATTGGCCGAAAAATTTGGGTATGGCCATATAATTATAAATGCAGTTTTGAAGATAACTGGAAGAATCGTACAATGTTTTAGCAAATTTCCCTGGTGACTGTTTTTCCAAAAGAAACTAGAAGAGGAATCTGATAAGTCCCGATGTCATCAATTCTTGTGTTATTTTAGATTATAGAATCAGTCACCATTTGTGGTGTCCCTTTTGACATAAAAAACGGCTATGAGGCGATAGATAGCCAGGTTTGATTCTATTCTACTCCTTGTGAAACCCAGCTCCATCTAACCAAATCCCAATTCCGTGGCGTAAACGTATTAGTTTTGTCCGCTCTTCTTTCTTGAAGTCGGAGACAGCTCAAGCTGTCAAGACATTAGCTTTGGCCATAAAACTTGGTTATGACAAAGCGAAGGCAGGTACGGAGGAAGCTTTTACATCGCACTTTAATATGTTTTACAAAATAAGTTCTGTTTGTTGTTGTTTGCTGTTTTGTTTTGATAAGGAGTAGATTAAATAGCTAACAATATTGTAATAGAAAAATAAA